ATTGTAGATAGTAGCTTTCTTTCCAGTTTTTTCTTGTTCTGGTTGTTGTTTGATTTTTGTTGTCTCAGAAAAAAAAAAAAAAAAATAAAAAAAAATCCACCAAGTAACTGATTTAAATAGAATATGATATTTTCTTTGCTGTACACAGGGGAAGTATTGGTTTGGTTTTTTAATTTTTTTGGAAAGACCAGACTTTCTGTGATTCACTGAATCTGTGTAGAAGGTACCTGCAGAAAACATGATAGCACCTTTTGCAGTACTTGTATTCTTTATACAATAAGATAGTTTTTTATTTCTTATTCAGATTCCCAATGAACTGGTACCTTCTTGGTAAACAAGCTGTTGGGAGGTCCTCCCGTTTTCAGCATCATCTTGATCTCATGAAAATCTCCTGGAGAGTTATATGTTGTGGTGGCAGAGCATACTTAACCACTGATTATCTGAACTTCAAGAGGTCACCGATGAATTGTTTGTCAGCTTCCTTCACTGGCTGAGAATGATTGTTCTCATGGTTTCTCTGTTGAGCTGACTTATCTTTGCATGTTTCCCTTCAGTGTTTTGGGAGTGCATCTGAATCCAGGTTTCTATGCAGAAAAGCCAGATATTTTACTAATTCCTTGGGGTAAGTGTGATGTGATAATCTGACCCTGTCAGCAGTGACAAAACTTTCAGTCCCTGGGAGGTGAGAAGGAAGAGGAGGGTGTGAAGGATGAGGTGCATACACCTTCAAACCTGGACTATCTGTTTCTTCTGCTTATATTTGACTGGCATGGAGACCACTGTTGGCTAAGGTGAATGACCCTTAAGTCCAAGAGATGACTTAGAAGCACTTTTAAATGGCCAAGGTATTAGGAGCTGCAGTTTTCTTGCTGATCTTGGCCTTTATTCATGTTCCTGCAACTCTGGGGGGTGAGCAAAGACATGGCTGGGGAGGCTCTGTGCCAGGTGAGGATGTGTTTACCCAGGAGGGATCCCTTCAATCAGGATATGCTGTCAGGTTAGGGCTGCTTGTTTGTTTGGCCGAGTCAAACTAGCTGGAAAAGGGGCTGGTTTGAATGTACAGCAGTAGCTAAATAAGTAATTGCAGATATAGGGGGCACTCCCTGGAGAATCAGGGCAGGTTTGGTTGTTGTAATCCCTTGCTAATGAAGCTACCAATGCTGTAAATGGCAAAGGGAAAAAGAGGCTCAGGCAGAGCAGCAGAAAACCAGAGGACAAACACATTTTAAACCTTTTCTTGCTAACTTGGTATATAGCTTTGATCATTTCACAGAAACTAATTCAGGAAATGAATGACATCAGAGAGGCAAAGAATCCATTTTATCCTCCTTTTTCCTCTTTTTAGAATGTTTTCTTCAATACAGATATGGCAAAAGTACAGAACAACGGCATGAAAAAATAGAGATAGCAATTTCAAGAAAAAAGGAATGCACTAAATGCTACCTGCTGTCTACCCCATTTCAGATAAAAGTAGTGAGTCTCACTGCACGTTTTACTCTCAAGAATTCAAACTTTAAGTTGAAATGTTTTTTTCATTGGAATTTTGGGATAAATTTAAGAATAGGCAGAGAGAGAGGAGAAACAGTCAGGGACTAATCAAGGACTAATTTGTTTCAAATCTGTTATATCCAAATATCACAGAGAAATGCCTTAACATAGATGTTTTATCAAAGGAAAGCCAATTTGAGATCATAAAACAAAAGATGAAAAATGTCTTAACAGAAGATTAATAGAAACATAAATACTCTCAAATTTTCTAGAGGGACAAGGAAAAGAGCCTCAAATGAGACACTTAAAGAAAAGAAAATTGTGCCTAGTAATCTTGAAAGAAGATAACTGCAGTTATGTCATGCAAGACAACTAACACAAGTTGAAGCTTTTCTATCCCTTCCTTCTCCCTCATTGCTCTGGGGCTGGGATCCTACACTCATCATCTGCCATTGGTGAAACAGCTGTGCAGAGGCTTTGCCAGGAGCTGTGATGTGTTGGAACTTCACAAAGGGTGAGGGAGGTCTACACCACAGAAGAAACATCACCAAATCTGAGTTTAGACATCCCCTAGAGATCACAGGAATCAGAAACAGCAGTGTGGGGTGTTAAAGAGGAATTGGCATGGTGAAGGTAACCACATGAGTCACACAGCTTGGGGTGGTCAAAAGTCCAGTCATGGTTTATCAGCACCTTCCTCAAGGAAGCCAGGAGCTGACTGTAAATCAGGAACATGTTTCTCTAAAGCCCCTGGATGAGTTTTTCTTACTTAGCTGTTTAACTGCTAAGTCTTTTGCTTGTCTCTGTCTTCAGCCATCTCTGATTTAAACAGGTGGACCCTATTTTTAGGCTCTTCCATCTTACTGTTGAGTGCCCCTGAGACAGGGATGTGCTTCAGCATTTTAGGGCTTTCCCGTGATCCAAATTTTTTAGAAGTTTAAGTAGAACCAGGTGGTATTTTTCTGTCATATCATACTTAATGAACAATGCTTAATATGCCACAGAGCTTTGATGCCTACCTCTGAAAAACAAAAAGGAATAGACCTTCTAATCTGTGGAGTCAATATAGTAGCCAGTTCCTTGGATGGCTCGCATTTTTTATATGGCTAGGTTCCAGGTCCATGAAGCTTTATTGTGCTCAGATAATAGGTACTAGCACCAAGGCCTGCTCCAAAGTCCACCTGAAGCCATTAGAAAGGCACTCTTGATCATCCTGCTTTGAAGACTTGCCCCCATCCTTGTATTTGTCTCTCCCAGTCTGAAGGGTGCATGAGGACTGCAGCCAGAGGAGCCACAAAGCTCTGACTGAGGGCCTGAAGGCACCAGGAGCCCAAGCAGACCTGGGAGCAGCTCTGATGAGAAGCAGGGTTTACTGCTTCAGTGTCACACGGGCAGTGGGCTGCTTTTTTTGACCTCAGCAGATGATTGTACATGGACCTGAACTGCAGTGGTTGGACTTGAGTCAGAAACTTTGAAGTGTGGGGTCTTTCTGACACCTTATACTATGCTATGAAACAAGTATCTAAAAATCTATTGTATTTCTTTAGGAAGTCAGTGTTTTTCTTACTCAGATAATTATGTGTGATTATAAGCATTCCTCTATAAAATATCACCAAAAATAAATTCAGTTCAAATATGATAAGGACACAAATATATAATACAAAAATTACCAGGGTGGATTTTTAACAAGAATTTTGCTTACTTTTTCCCTAGTGAATGCTCTCTAATTCTTCTCAATCTTGGTAACTGTTTACATTATTTTATACATATTCATATTTATACATTCATTTATATTTATTACATTCAAAAACAAAAGCATGGGGAGACTTTTTAGTCAGCTGTACAAAAGTACTTACTGCTGGTCTTTATTTGATAATTGAGAAAAAAGTAAAAAATCCAACCAGATTACTAGATCTCCATAGCAGGCCAAAGAAGCTGCAAAGTTCATTTTAACAACATACCATGACTGGAGCAGGAGCTGGACATAATGCAAGCAAGAGAGGTTAAGAAGAGAGAGGTGAATCTGTATTAGGTTGTCATGGTCAGCAGCTACATATTTTGATTTATCTTTGCCTTTCCTGTTCCTTTTGCTCATCCTGATGGGACTGCAGCAGTGTTGCCACACTTGGGGAAAGGATGTGGCCTCTTCCTGGGGACTGCAACACAAAATGTTTTCTGTTCCTCTCTTTTCTTTTGCTCTTTGGGGCAAATTTAATAATATAACTAATTTAATAATATACTCTGCAAAGAGTATGGGCCCCCAAAGCAGCACAGGCATTTTTTATGCCAAACCCCCCTAAGAAACTCAATACCCCTTGGATATACAGCTGCTCTTGTCTTAGGAGTCAAGGCAGGACAGCTTTTCTATTGAGGCACCAGACCCAGAATCACAGCTAACATCTTGCACTTCCCACACCAGTGGTCCCTTGAGGCTTGAGGAGGAAACTGGATTATGAATAACGAGGTACCTGAACAGCTGGTGACTCACTGGAAGTCTGTGGTCTGAGATATTGACAGTCTGCCAACAATTTGGTCATGGTTGTCAGTGAGAGGAAAGATAAGAGCGGAACCACAAAGTGGTGTTGATTTTTAAAGGTCAGCAGACTTGTGGTTCAAAGTCACTGTGGGAGCAATCTTCTGGATTTTCACAGAGATTCACTGATAAAAGGAAAACTAAAAAAATGTGGATTATGTCCTTTTAATACAAAATACCTACAAATTAGAATTCTGAATACAATGGCCCAAACATTACTGCATATTCTTCTTTGTGTTCCAATGTGGAAGTTATTTTGAAACATTTCTCATCACAGGAATACCAAGTTTATGGGAATATTTGCTTGTGCATTTGATTGTCTTCATCCCAAAGGTGATATAAATAAATTTATGCAATGGGATTACCAGGAAGAAACCAATGAGCCCTATTTGCTTGTAGTTCATCATCTGTATTGAAGAAGGTGGAAAAGCCATCAGAGTTAACAAATGTGTCTGAAAATCATGCTTTCTTTTTATTGTAGTCTTACTGATCTTTACCAACTTGACAAAATGACATTCAACTTGTAAATATTGCTAGTGATTGTGTGCATTAATGCAGCTAATATCACTGGGGTTTTCATTTGACACAAAACAAATGTAACAAAAAAACCAAATCAAATTATCCTCAATATAAATGAGTTATAGTATGTTCACAGTGCTGCAGCCCTGGAAAAATGGAATATTCTAAACCACCTAAAAAAAGTCAGAACCCATGGGAAAGTTGTAGGTCCCTGAACTAGAGATGGTTAGATGGAATAATTTATCCTCCAGGTGAGTCTTTCCATCTCTGACAGCATCTGTCTCATTTGTTATTTCTCTGCCTCCTACTTTATCTGGCTCACAGATGTTACCCTCCCTGCATTTTTGTGAACTTGTTAACACAATACTAAGATATTTTCCCTTTTCATGTCTTGTTCTGTTGAATTACTCAGTCAAAAACATACATTAATCAAGCTTAATTTCTTCCTTTTGCTCCACAGATTCAGGCAGCGATTATTACTTAAGACACCATCTCTTTGAAGAGTATATATGCAATAATGCTCCATTTCAGGTAGGTAGTCCAGATAATCTTTTAAATATTACTATACTGTTCCTAGCTTGATTTTCTTTTCTGACTCAAAGCAAAATCATTAAAAATATCTTTTGGAATACGGGCAAAAATAATAATAGATATCAAATATAACCTGACATAAGCCCGTTTCATCCATACTGAGAAATTCCTCACTTTCTGTAGAAAGTTTTTCAACTTCTTTGTGGCACAGCAGAATTAAACTTAAAACTCATCCTTCCTTGCTGTCATTGCATCGTGCAGAATATCTGCTCACTGCAGTTGTGGAGCTGACTGCTGTAGAGGTGAATAAAGCCATTGTTCGTCTTCGTACTTCCTTGTATTGAATGAGTCCCTGACACTGAGAGTGAGGTACAGAAAAGTAATGTGCAAACTTAAATTGTGTGGGTGAGAGGACCACTCTAATACAGTCACTGGGTTTTTTCTTTGTGATTCTTTGAGCGCTTTGTGATTTCCTTAGCTCTTCACTGCCTTACATAGACAATATTTTATCAGTAGAGTAACTGATGCAGAGCCCTTCTAGAGTTATCCTGACTTATTAAAAAAAAAAAGGCTGCAACTTTTGTTAAAGAGAAACTCAGCCTGTCCTGAAATACATTTTTCTACACCACTCTAAACTATGGCAAGCCCAGTTCAAAGTTACCAGAATATGGCATTCTTACTTGTACTGAGTAGACTTTTTTCCATTTTTAATTTTAAAAATTTTAGAATTACTTTTTTTTTCCTTGGAGACTTATAATGCTAATATTTGAAGTGGGGCACCATTTATCTAGATAGTGACTGCAACAGTAGCATTGTTCATTTGAATAAGCTGGACTGACTTACAGCTGTTGCTGTCTTTTTTTATTCTCATGAGCTTGTAACACCATGCTGAAGATAAAAAGTGAAACTCTTGGGATAAGAAAAGCGCTTTTCTGGGGTTTTGTTTGTTTGTTTGTTTGTTTTTCCTTTCAAGGAACACAGGACACTCAAGGAAAATGTACAGGAGTTGAATGCTCTGTAAAATTTCTTAGAAAACTGTATTTTTGTGGCTCCAAAAAAGGACTCCTTGACCTGCATCACTTCCTCATAACTAAGCAACACTGTGCCATAGAAAGCACATATCGAAGGATTTCTTCTTAGCCAGATCCTCCTCTGCTTGTCCACTGCTCCACTTGTAGATCTTCTTGTGTCTAAAAAGTGGTAGCAAGTCTAATAGGTTCACACTTCAGGCTTGACACAACTCAACAGAAATCTTTGTCCATCACAAGATGAAAAATAATTGAACCTAGGCTTCCTGGCATCTGACTAGAGACATGGAGTATTCAGAATGTCTCAGCAAATTTAAAGTTTTTGGTTCTCCACTAACTAAACCTTTTACTTTATATGTATTAAGTCAAAATGTAAAAAACCCCAAACCAATCAACTACCAAAAAAAAAAAAAAAAAAAAAAAAAAAAAAAAAAAAAAAAAAAAAAAAAAAAAAAAAAAAAAAAAAAAAAAAAAAACACCACCAAAAAAAATACTCCAACAAAAACCTCCAAACCTTTAATTTGTAGATGGTAATATTTGTATTCCTTTGAAAAATCTCTTAATAGCATCAGGCAATCCAACTCCTCTAGTTTTTGCAAGAAAAAAAATAGAATATTTAATATATTTAAATTTCATATAATAGAAAATTTGCCTTGCCTTGCCTTGCCTCATTGTTTTTTGGTTGGCTGGTTAGTTTTGTCTTGGCCTTTCTGTGCTCATGGTATTTTCCTCCTTAATCCTCCTTCGATTTGGGATTAGAACTCAATCCCCACACTAGGTTCAGAATTTTGCTGAATTCATCTGTTGTTGCTTGAATCCCTGAAGTGAGTTCTATTTTATTATGGAATGCTTAGGAATTACTGAAACTTCTGAGACTGTTAATGAGAAGCTGGAAGTCCAATGATTAATTAATATATTGTAGTCTCTTTTACTTGGTTTTAGTTCTGTACCATTGCCTGGGGGGACATATCTCTTAGGTTGTCTGGCAGCAGCCTCATTATTAACAGAAATAGGCCATAACTTCTTCAAATAAAATATTTTCATTGATCTTAAAAGAGAAATTTTAACTCTGAGCACTCTGTTTAGTTTCATAGCTGTCTTTTTGTGTCATTGTTGTAACACTGGGACTCTACAAGGTCACACCACTTTGTGCTGTGCATCATTAAGGCTTGCAGGTCAAGCACACTTGGGTCAGGAGCTACACTCAAAAACAACAGCAAATATTGAAGTTTAAGTGGATGGCATTAGTCCCCAGAGGTCAGAATAAAAGTGCCCAATGCCATTTTGATTCAGGAGGGAGCATCTTTCTGATACTTTTCATAAAAAAACCCAAACAATTCCAATATTTAACCTGCAGTCACGAGAGTTTAGGACCACAGATACCTTCGGATGTGCAGCTTACATCCAGATCTTCTTAAAATCAAGAAGAAAAAGCACACGCAGATAAGGGTCAGTGAGTAATTTAAAAAAGGCAATCAAAAGGTTCAAAATTACCTGTTGGTGTCTGACCTACAAAAATCACCAAAAGCTACCAGCTGGCATTTTCTGGCCATGGGAATGGCTGTAGGGATGCTAACTCTAGTAGCCCCAGCACTGAGAGCTACCTTCTGTCTAATTAAATCCCATTCTAGTTTTAGGAACACAAGGATTCACTTTGTATTTTGTGAGACTATCTGGATTAAAATGATATAAATCAGTCAGTGTAATATGATTTTGCAATTTTTTTTTTTTTATTTAGGAAAGTGTCTCAAGAATAAAATGTTGAAAAATTTGGAATATTGTATGTAACAGTTTTGGTAATATTATGCAACATTCAGCTGAAAGATTGTGGCAAGATGCAATGATAAGTGGGATGTAAGAAGAGTAAGATTTGGTAGGATAGGATAAACAGAACAGGTATTTCAGAGTGCCCTGAAAGAACATACTCTTCCTAAGGCTGAAATCTGTATCCACTGGGCTGGTGGAAGAGCAATATATATTCTACATAATCACATTAATTCAAAACCTTTGCATTTCTGAAGGGTGTGTAAATTACTGTAGGTTATTCAGAGATTTGGGGTTATTTCCTCTGTCTTATCAGTTCCTAATTTCCCCCTTACTTATTTTCCCACTAATTTTTGTCTCTAATATTTCACATTAGGAGGGATTTGTCTTCACTGTCATTGACTTTTGGAATCATTTGTTCCCTGTGGTGTAAACTGCTTATGGCAATGCACATCATTCCTCCTATAATATGGAGAAATTAAATAAAATATACCATGATATTCTTTTATTGGATATTTACACTCAGACATTTAAGAAAGAAAGTGAAGGCCAAGTAGAAAGATCTTTAGTGACTTGACCCAGAAGGTTCTGACATAGGTGCCCCACAGTGCAGTGTGTGTGCCTTTGCTGCATAAAAATGGATCAGCAGTCAGAGGCATCAAAGACTGGCTTTGACCCATTCCTCTATAAACAGTTATTTCTCATTAGGTTATTACAGGTCACTCATATTATAATTTGAATTTCAAATTTCTATGATCTAAAAACGATCTACAGATCTGTATGATCTACAGAATCAATGGATATTATAGACATGTTTAATAAAGGAAAAATTGTATCAGTACTTGGAAAATTATGAAAATATCAGTTTCCTGCACAGATCTAAAATTTATTGTTTCTACTAATGTCTGTATAAAGAGAATACATATATATATATATATATATATATATATATATATATATATATATATATATATGATTTCTCTAATGACTATCAAACTGTTTTGCTGAATTTCACATGGAGATAAAGGACATAGATACACAACTTTCTAACAGGTTTGAAGTTGAAAAGTTGACTAGGAAAAAAAAGAGGGGGGACCAGTAAGGGACAGACTAACAGGAGCACATCCTTAATTGCTCTAGGCAGACCACCTCTGAAATAAGTGTTTTGGCTGCTTCAGCCAAGGGAAAAGGATTGGTCAGAGCTTAGTTTGTTAGCAAATTCAGCTATAACTCATCTTTAATAAATCAGGCTTTGCTTCTTCTACTGGTCTCAGAACTGTTTGTAATATGTTTATTTTAGGGTCCTGTGCCTGCCATAAATCTGAGGCTGTTTATCAAGCAGTGACAGTGATTTATTGGTATGACTATATTGGTTCCCAGAAGTGGGACTGAACAGAGTTCATGTTTGTCTCTCTTTTTTTTTTTTTTTTTTTTNAAAAAAAAAAAAGGATCACTTATCATCACATTCATCTGTGGTCAGAGTCCATGAGTGGGGTTTACTTTTAACCAGAGTGGCTCTGAAAGAGATAATTTTTGCTGCGTGAATTTCAATTAGTGTGCTTCAGTTTAATTTTTTTTTCCCTGATGATGTAACTTAAACAATATCAATTTTTTCTCAACAACATGGGACTGGACTGGATCTCCTGGCTGACTCTAAAAGAAGCCTTTTCCTTTCAAGATTTTTTTTCTCTGTTTCAGCAGAAGTGGGAGAGTCATTTCCAAGAATAAAAGTAAGAGAATTGGAGCAGGGCAGAGAAGGGTAAAGTGCCTGGGCATGAAGAAGAGAAAATAAAAGACCTGAGGAGTGGCTGAGACCTGAGGATGTTGAACATCCTGCACCCAGAGGACCAGAGGACAAGGGCATACATTTGTTTCTCTGATGCCAGAGAACACTTGCAAAGGCACTATTCAACCACATTTCTTAGTTCATACAGGATAGAGACACACGGCTACTTTTTAGCCAGGGTGGTTTTATATCAAGGCAGCCTCTGTAGGATGCTGCTTCAATTTCTGTGTGCCCTGATACTGATTTTTGAAGACAGCCTGAATATTGGATTTGAATAGCTGACTTTGTACACTTAACCTTATTGTCTTAACATAATATGTGTGAGTTAATAGAGATATAAGATTAAGGGGAAAAATGCCAAAAAGCAAAGCCTAAGTATAAACAATGCAGCTGGAATGAACTAAGAGAGAGACAGGGCTGTT